ATAGTTAAAATGGTAAAATACTTAATATAGCCTTATAGGGGTAATCTTGTTCTGTCATAAGACCTTTGTTGTACATGATGTACTCAAAGGCATGACTTGGGAGGCCACTAAAAAGCGGTGACGGGATGTAAAATGTTGTTTAGACCATTTTACAGTTAAGACTTTACTCCTAAAACCATAAAAAAAGCCAAGATGAAGCTCACCCATTGCAACCATGATTGTCGAAAGCACCCGCACAATCAACAAGCTGCTGCTCTGCCTGTAAAACAATGCATGATAGGAAGAAGAAGAGGTTAGACAAAATAACCTGATGTTTCATATATATTACAGTTATATTTTATTACTAATGTGCTGTTTTGGGGTTTGTTTGAACCTGCCAAAGGGCAGAAAAAGGGAATTATTGGTATATTCATTACAATGTTGATACTAAATTAAATAATAAGACATTATTAATATCTGATGATGAATGTTCACAGCCATTGTTAAATTAAAAGCAACATATACATACTAGTTGTAGGAGTTTCCCTGTGGCAATAGCAGTGACAGACTCCAGACAGCCTGTGGTGGAAAAAGTCCAGCAGCTACCACAAGCTCCCTGAAATAGTGTCACTGATTAAGCATTAGCACTGTTTACTTAAAAAATAATCAATTGTAAGTACAATAGAGAATTATTAGCCTATAGCAAGATAAGCAAGCTACCTGGTTCTTGACATCAGTTACATAGTGTCCTTTCGTTCTCCAGTCAATCATATCAGGATAAGGTCCGTTACTGCTCACATGATTCCCTCTAGTGGCAGAGCAGTTCTGTCAGGATATAAAATATTCATGAATTGTGGTACTTTCCTATTTCCTCATTGATCACGAGAGGCTGTTAAAAATAATACCTGAGGTTCTGTCAGGAGGTAGGACTTTTTAAATTCAGTAAAGGTCATGTCTGAAAACTGATTCAGTCCCACTGTAAAGTGCAGAGAAATGTTATGTGATTTTTTTTAAACATCATTTTCATAACACTGCTTTAAAACAATTAAAGACTTCATTAAGTTAGATTATATCAGTCATACTTGAAAACTTGTGGTTTCCTGCATTATGGCGCTCAATCTTCTTCTTGTTCTCCAGGAATGTCTGTAGCCGCTGGTAATATTCATTTATCTCATATTTGTTGTTATACTGAACATTTCAAAAGAATAAATAAAGTTACCTCCTTCCTCTTTCTAATTTTCACTTCCTTCCTTTAGTGTCGCCTTAAATTTCCTTGTGTTGCGACACGAACTTATAATTAACTTATTCTTACCTGAGACATCCATGATTTGAAAAGATACTCATCTGTAACAAATAAATATTAATATTTCATTTTTTTAATGCACACAACAGTTCTCCAAAGTACCTTTATCAAGTTTCAATTAATTAACCATTTGCATTTTAGTCCATAAAATCTATTTTAAATGCTGTATTATATATGACAATAGCCTAGCTGTAGCCTAAGTCTAAGTGGTCATAAACTTGTTATGCATTTGTTTTGAAGACTGTAACCGCCAAATAGTCAAGAGCGAAAGTAGCTACAACGCAACGGCGCACGTACGTGGAAGAAGAAAAAAAGCTCAAAGTCAAACACTGGTTTAAAAATTTACCTTCCTCAGTGTGCAATGGCAGTGTATGCACCTGATAGAGAACGGCAAACAGAACCGGTAAAATCAGCCTGTTCATCTTCAACCCTGCGAGCAGCTCATAACAGCAGCATTACAGTATGTGAGATCTCATCACATGAGAGCTTTAGCACTCCTCCTACACGAGGGAGGGCTTTCATTAATTAATTAACCATTTGCATTTTAGTCCATAAAATCTATTTTAAATGCTGTATTATATATGACAATAGCCTAGCTGTAGCCTAAGTCTAAGTGGTCATAAACTTGTTATGCATTTGTTTTGAAGACTGTAACCGCCAAATAGTCAAGAGCGAAAGTAGCTACAACGCAACGGCGCACGTACGTGGAAGAAGAAAAAAAGCTCAAAGTCAAACACTGGTTTAAAAATTTACCTTCCTCAGTGTGCAATGGCAGTGTATGCACCTGATAGAGAACGGCAAACAGAACCGGTAAAATCAGCCTGTTCATCTTCAACCCTGCGAGCAGCTCATAACAGCAGCATTACAGTACGTGAGATCTCATCACATGAGAGCTAGCACTCCTCCTACACGAGGGAGGGCTTTCATTGTACTCTGCTCTTCGGGTTAAAGGTGCACTCAATATTCTTTTGATAATTAAAACGTTATACACAAAGAAATGAGCAGCATTTTTGAGATATATCAGTAAAATGTGCACTCAGATAAAGCCGTTTTATTTTACATGGAGCGGGTCGCCTCCTCATGTTGACATCACATGACCAGATGTGTCACGCCAGCGAGTTACTTATAGAAGTTTAGCTTACAGTAGCCCTACATGCTTTTAGCCAGTCTTCAAGGCAAACAGGGTTTTGGTTTACACCCAATATTTTTCCTGAAAACAACCCTATACTATGAACATAATAGTGTCGTAAAGATATTAGGAAACTGTTCTTTTACAACAAAAATTGATTACATAGGCCTAAATGATCCACCTGCAAGGTATTTATAAAGTCTTACAACTATGTAATGGATGAATATCAGAGCAAACAAACACTGTTTGCTTAATTGCACAAATGTAAATACTAAAAACCTGCCGTTTTAAAATAAACGAGGCCCATATCATTACATAATACACTTATGACCCAATTTCTAAGAGAGCCAAATGAAGTGAGCATGACAAAAACCACATACAAGGAAGCAATATCCCCCTGAGATAGAATAGGTTTATTAGCAAGAGGTAATCAGGAAACATACAGTTTATTTAATTTTCTTTCTTTTTCTTTTCTTTTCTGTTCATTTCTTTTTTCTTTTTTCTTTTGTACAAAAACTGGAAATATTTCCCAAGCCGTGGAAATAAACTTAAGGGTTGAAAGATAATTCTCATACCACTGGGTATTGCTAACAGCAAAATGTTTGTTTGTATGTTTATATATCATTTATAAGAGTATGTGCACATAGATGTACATATATATTGTTCTTTTTAAAGTTTCTGGCTGATACAGTGTTGCATGCCTGCCACATGAGCGTTTAGTGTGTTTCCAGACTGTACATAGTAAAAATACATACAAATATTCACAGAATAAGCACTACATTACTATATTCCTGCTAAGAGAATGATTATAGACAGGATTACAGTATATGCAAAAACACTTTAAAGTCCTCTACCTCTAGATCATGGTTTCAAAATCACAAATCATATAGCATTGAGTGTGTAAGCATAGGATACAACGCTTTAAAGAGGTGTGCTTTAAACTAGTATGTTAAGAAATACATAGGGCTGCATGTACAAAATATACAGAATACTTTTCTGTGTGGCGAGTTGACAATGTTTGTACAAAAAATGTTTCTACGCTTGTTTTTTTTTTTCTTTTCTTTCTTTTTAGGTAAGGATGCAGAACCCTAAGTCTTTATTCTAGGACTACAAAAATACCTTTAGTATGCTGCAAGCGGGGAGGTCATTCACTTTTGATCATACTCTTAAACGACAATGCATTTTACAGTGATATTCAGTCACGTTCCACAATCACTGGAACAGCAAGAAGGACATAGATTGTCTGTAAATGTACAATAGCTGGATACTCTGGTGTAGAAGGATAGTGTTGAACCCAGAATAACTTTTTCCCAAAATGCTAAGAAATGTGGCTGTGAGCAACGGAAACATTACATGGGTAAACAATCACGAAACGACCAGTTTCAAAAAATATAATGCCGATCTTGCTTCTTTTTATGAAGAAATAGTCAATTTTTTTGAGGTGAGGAAATCATTTAAAAAAAAGACTTCTGCAAAATAAACTTTGCATGCAAGAACAGATCAAAATCCTTATTGGCCAATAGGAGACATATTCTAAGTCTTTTTTTATGTAATATAATTACCAAGCTCTTCACTGTCTGCTTTATTAAGTCATGCCAAAACTCTTTAAAAAATGTCATGGCAGTTTAGGCATTTCCAACCAATCCTTTGAGAAATCAAGGGATGGATGTTAATTATCGCAACAAATAGGAGTAAAATGCTGGAGTTGGTTCTGCTAAGTACAGTGACATGGAATATAAGAGTATAAGTGTTTCTATATGCTTGGTTGTATACAGTAATATATCAGCTTTCCACATTGCTACATGGTATGCATATACAGTAAATAGTTACATGCATCTATTAAAATCTCAAAATGCTCCTGCCGGCTTTTCATATTTCATTAAAGTGATGTGAATGACCCTAATCAATTAAAGAGACAACCACACCTTGAACTAGGATTATTGTTTTAAGTACTGTCAAAAGTATACTTTGGATTTGGAAAAAATATGATTCCCTAAAGAACAAAGGCTGAAATCAACAGGTAAGTTCTCGGTGAAAGATCTGAAACAATTAGGCAACATTTGGTTACGACTAAAAAACAAGGAAACACATCCAGGAGTAATAATCATGTTACATAACAGAACACATGGATGTATACTGTAGATAGCGTGGTGTCTGTACATTGTGTCGACGTTAGGCAGAGCCACTCTCAGTTGGGCACTTTAGGCTCAATTCTGAGAGAGGCTTCATACAGGCCTTCTTCATCCATTACTGAGCTTTTGTCCAGTAAATACAGTGCTGCCTGAAAGACAAACACGGTGTCAGTTTCATGTTGAATATGATTCTTCAATACAACCATGGCTCAATTCTCAATTCGAGTTTCCTACATTCTAGATTCCAAAGCAATGCTACAGAAGAACAATTCTAGGTTCCACAAATAACCTTTCAGTGAACAGTTCTTTAAAAAACACTTTTTAAGTGTGAAAAACATTTTCAAAATCTAAAGAACTTTTTTTTTTCACTAGAAAATCACCTTTTTGTCCAATGGGAAGTTTCTTCATGGAACCGTCAATTCAAATTAAGAACAAATTAAATTAAGATTTTAAGAGTGTAGAAAAGAGAGATTATTCTCATTAATGCAAACAAATTTGATTTTATAATACCTTTTAGTTTTGCATTAATTTTTCAGTGAATTAAAGGTGCAGTAGGAGATCTTGGAAAATGCTAACTTTAGCCTGATAGCACTGAAAGCGAACGTCCCACCCTCCCTGCAATCGCAGTCCAAAGCCACGCCCCCTGAACGCATATACGCTCACAGACCAGAATACCAGAGACAACATTTCTACAATAGGCTACATCAGCCGTTCTCAATTCCAGTCCTTGCACTGGATGTGAAGACGTGTGTGTGTGAGTGTGATGTGTGTGAAGATGCTGCGCAGTGCAAATCCGTGAATGAATGTTCTGAAGTGAAGTAAACTTCAACGGATTTCCCCTGCTCAGGGAGTAGGGAGCAATGAACACTGTGTAGGGATCATATCGATCGAAACACAGTTCATGCATGTAGCTCACTTCTAACGAGCTGGTTATCTGAATCGGGTGTGTTAACTAAGCGAGACATGCAAAATATGCAGAGC